ACATCATTTCTATTCTTAAAAACAATTAATAAGCATTTTTGATACAGACTAGTGCAAGCTTACTTATTATACTAATTTGTTTAAGATAGATAATAGATTTTGCACTGAACACATGGCTCTTTTTAGAATTAATCATGCAGAATAATGGTATAAAAGTCCAATATTTAAATTCTAGCAAAAGTTATTTTTATCCTTAATAAACACTTCTATTATTTTCCTTCTTTTTCTAATCAATCCTAAATTGTGAATGGTGTATAATAACATATTACAAATATTTTTATATTCATTACTATTTAATATTGTTATAATGATTTCTGTTGAGTAGATTTATTTCAGATTAGTCTGTAAAAAAAGGGGATGCTAAGTTCAGTCCATTTAATGATAACATAGAAGGAAATTTTATTTCAACAAGTTTTATTGTTTTTAATTTTATGTGAATAATAATAAGTCTAACTTAACAAACAAAGAACTTCTAAACAGAAAATCCATTTAGTTGCTAAATTTGTATCTCTTATACTTTGTTGCAAACAGAAACTCAAAATTTACATCACTGAACTAACTAACAAACTGACTGACAGCAACATCAAACTGACTAATTCATACACTGATTCCACATTAGCTAACATACTCATTCATCAACAATCAAACCACTATAGCCTAACTAAGTTATTTACATTACAGTAATCATTTCTTAAACTTTCAAGGTTTGAGTCATTAAACCACACTTCAACATACTATGTCAAACCTCCTGCTGGCAAACAACAATACAAACCTTAAAAAAACACCCAAATTAAAAAGAATAGCCTAGAAAAATACTTTATCATACATATAACTTACCAACATCACACAATGAGAAGATATGATATACATTTTCTTACAGTAATTCTTTAAGGCCATGAGTGTACACAGAATGTAAGTGGGCATAAGGTGATCTCCACGAGTTGGAGCTTCACCCACGATGTGAAAAAAATATATGGGGTTCAGAGGCCAAGCAGTCCCTGGAAGCTGGAGGGTTTTAAGTGTTATAAAATTAAATCTGGGGCTGTCCTTTCCTTGACTTGAAATATGTTTTAACTGAAATTATTATTTCTATAGTTCTTCAATAAACTTCTAAGGGCCAAAACATATTTCTAAGTCTAAAAAAGTAAAAACTATTTCTTTTATCCTTCCTTAAAACAAATTTACACTCTTGCAGTTTCACTTCTCATAAAACTGAATTATTAATTAATGCTGGCAAAGATAAAAAAATTCCATTGCATCATCATGAATTTAGAACTTGAAAAAAAGTTGTAATTGACAAAACTTTACTTTTTGACAGCAGATTAAATGAACTATTAAAATTAAATTTCTTGCAGCTAGCTCTGGCTGCTTACCAAATCAGTGTCTTAGGAACAAAATGTTTCAGACTGATAAAAAGCTTCCCCATTGGCTAAAGTTATAGAAAGACTACTACCTAAGCCAATTATGATACTAAGAAATGCATGCATGACTAGTAGTAACACAAAACAAATTCTATAATTGCAACAGCTCAAGTGGAGAAATAGAAACATGCTAACAGTATTCACACAATTGTACAATTCCAGAACCAGGAATAAAGACTGTAATAGTGCGTGGCACATAGTTTTTTACATTCCGATGTGCGCTTACACTTCCATGCACTACTGAAGCTACATCATTGAGTAGGTGTATATCAAAATATTGAAAATAAGGCTTAATGATTTTCTTGCTAAACATACATATCTTAGGTAATAAAATGATAAATAACTTAAATGAAATGCACCTCAATGTTTCCATTGACATCATACTTCACTGGAAGGAAAGCCTTTCCAAGTAATTCTGAAAAAAAAAAAGATAAACCCTCATTATGGTCATTTAACAAAAACACAGAAACACTATGTTCATTCTTGATATCAAACATAAACAGAACTGTAATTTTCAAATACATTTTCCAAAAAGATAATGCAATGTCTTAGTTATCACAAGCTATTATAGTATATTATTACAAAATACCAAGTATTCTGATGTGCCAAAGTATGAAATGAACAAGATTTCCTACATACATATAGCTACTTTCAATGTGATGGAAAACTAGTGTTCTGTGTATTATTTGTCCTTTAAGTAGGATGTAAATATACAGATGCATGCTTCTGTACAACCAACTCGTATTCTTTAGATGTATTGTAAATAACCAGATCCACACTTCTGTACAACCAACTTGTGTACTTTAGGTGGAATGCAAGTAACCAGATACATACTTCTGTACTACCTACTTGTGTTTTTTAGGTGGGATGTAAATAACCAGATCCACACTTCTGTACAACCAACTTGTGTACTTTAGGTGGAATGCAAGTAACCAGATAC